AAAAAAAAAAAAAAAAAAAAAAAAAAAAAAAAAAAGAGAGAGAGAAAAGCAAAGATAGACAACATATTTCCTCTTTATGCTTTTTCCAGGTCAAGTTCTGGGAAAACTCTGCAAAGCTTCTTTGGAGCAAATAGATTGCATCATGGGTATAGTCAGTGAAATGTTTGCAATATCTTTCTTTTTCTTCTACAGAAAGAATCGCAGGCTTGAAAGAGTATTTTTTCATTATTCAAGTAAATTCCTCGTAGGCTCACATTTGTATTTTGTCATTACATGTAGAATTTTATTATTTTTATCTTAAACATAAAAATTTGCTTTCTATGTTCTTTTAGGATTGATGCCTCATTCACATGAGCCAGATCTGGAGCAAAACTTGCTTTTCAAATTAATTGTGTTAGAACATCTTAGTGATATGTATAGACTGGAACTATCAATGTTGTAGTGCATGTGAATCCACTTCAGTGTAACTTTAGATTTCTATAGTAGATTAATTGTAGATAAATCCTTGGTGCAACAGTACTTCTGAAGCTTTTGTATGAGGAAATAAACATTTGCAAATTATATATTAATTTAAAGGACCCCAAAACTACCAATTTTGTGCTAGTTACCTCACAGCTACACCATTCTGAAAAATCGTTCTTTTTTTACATTTCCATAAAAATAAGGAATCTGACATGTACATGTACTTTTCTTTTGTAGGTGGAATGGAGAAAATAAAAGAGCATACCTTTGCATTAGCTCACTACACATATACTGTGCTGTCTACCTTAAAATATGCCAATGGGGCTCCTGTAGTACGTATTTACAGCGATACAGATTTCAGCAATCCTGATGTCCAGGGCCCAATCATTAATTTTAATGTGCTCGATGAAAATGGAGAAGTGATTGGCTTTTCACAGGTATGATTTTTCCCTTGCCTTAACTGAGTGTCATGTTTCTATTTTAAGCATATTCACAATTAGTTCTTTATCCTAAATGAAATATTTTGTCCATAGTAGTCCCCTCTGAGGTTTTGGGTTTGTTTCCTCATAGGTGTGCACAATATACAGACACCATTTTTATAGTAGTAGAAGGAGAATCCAATAAATAGTGCTAGCACAATGCAAAGTACTTAATAGCCAAAGCCAGTATCTTACAGATTTAATACTCTACATGTAGGAAGTTTGAAAATGGGCTGTTTTAACAGGATGCATTGACTAGGCAGTTGGGTTTCTTGTTGACTTCCTTCTCTAGAGCACTCAACACTGGGAATTGAAGAGCACGTCTACAAAAGCTGATATAAGAGACGGCCTTGGAGCTTTGACATAGAAACAAAATCAGATCCCAAAATACTGCAGTCACCCATGAAAGAGAAGTTGTCTTTTCCCTTCAGTTCTAATAATTACATTCTTGTAATATTCCTGAGGAAGCACTGGATAAAGTTGATTGATTGGTGTAAGGAGTGAGATTGAAACTCAAAAAATCCTTAAATGCTGTCTTTCTCAACAGCTTTCTCTAGCCTTTATCCATTAGCTATACTGAGTATCTCTAAGATGAAACTGTTAAACTTTTCTGCCTTCAGTAGAGAGGTAATGATGTATGACTCTGCACTGTGTAGGCAGTGGGTAACATAGGGTAATGTCATAAGGTCACTTGCTCATCAGTGGAAGTCAGAAAAAACACAGTGCTCTAGTTTTGCTTAATTCTTCTGGGGTTTATTGTCTGATAATTGAATAAGACCACATCAAGTTCAAGTGTATGACCGTGATATTTTTAAAAGCCATCAGTAACTGGCGCCATCTTTCTCAGTAGCTACCTCCCTCTGCCAGCAGTAGTGGCAGAGCCACATTGTTCTTGGAAGCTGGTAATTCTGAACCATGAGGGAGAGAGCAGGAGCGCTGTAAAAGGCGTTCCTCAACACTCCTCTAACAGAGGAGTAAAAACAAGTAACAAGGGGAATGCAGAGACATGTCTGTGAGAATACAAGAGGAGATCCATATATGCACAAGAGACAACAGAAGTGAAGCAGTTACTTTGTAATCAATATAGAATTTTACAATTTTTTTTTAAAAAGCACTTACCACACTGTTGAACAGGAGAATAGCAAATGTATAGTACTGGAGAAGCTCTTCTTCCCATATGTCTTTATTTGGACTGTGTGACCAAACAGTCTCAATATTTACCACATGTCATTTCAAAGAATTACACATTTTAGGAGTGAATTAGCCATTTATACAATCTTGAACATGTGTTCAGAAAAGACTGGAGATGTTAACACAGCTGGATTGGCAAAACGCGCTGCAAACACACTGATGTTGCTTCTGTCCAGTGGTTAAAACCAAAACCTTTATTTGCATTTATGATTTTGACAGTTTCTTAGTAAAAATGGCTCTTGTCTGTTTCACTTTTTTAAACGCAAAGAAAAAATTATTTTATAGTCTGATGCCTCCATTGTGCCTGTTTGCTGCAGTGGCTGCTCATAAAAAGCTTCTTTATTGGATCTGTATCATCTGGACTCTGCTATTCACCAGGTTCTTGTCATTTCTGGCATGAGTATGTAGAATGAAGAACTATAAAGTTTTCAAATGCATACCAGTCACATCTGCAGTGCCTGTTAGATTACTTTGTTTAATTAAAATAATGTGCAATTTAATGACTTTTAGAAATTAACAAGCAACAGCACTGTTCTTTCCAAAGCTATAATACATGTGATATAGATATATAATTGGCTTCTTTATGGCATGAAATTCTTTCGTAGACGTCTTATAGCAGTTATGGGGGAGAAAAATGTTTGCTGCTTCTTTATGACTAAAAAGAAAATACATACAGCAGAGACTGAGCTTCATCAAATTGACAATATAATCTCATCTTCATACCTGTATGCATGTCTAGAATTAGATTAGTTTTTTCAAATCAAAGTTAAATCCAGTACTTCCATGAATGGTTCAGACATGAAACAGTGTCCTCTAGTTTGATCATGTCTGTGATGTGCACATTCATGTGGATTCACTGGTCAATCTCCAAATGTAGTCTAGTGGATTTAGGAGAATACAGTTTCAGAATTCTCCCAGAAAACATTTTGGGGAATTTTTAATTAAGAGAAAACTGGATGACATTTCTATCTGATACACCTACTACTAGTGGACATCAGTGAATGATTCGGGTTGTATTTCTGCTAGTATATTAAAAGAGAAATGACAGAATGCCCTAGTCCTTTATGGATTATATCCCATCTATAATTAATTACTTATAACCAGGCATCCAACAAGTTCTATTTGTCTTTTTGACAGGTAATTGTTATGTGCCCATTGCCTATTAGAGAGCACAGTGTGGCTGGACATTAGCATTTGCTAGCCTGGAAAGGACAATCTGACTAACTGATTCCAGAGAAAATATTATGACTAGGTTTGGAGCAGTTTGTTCAGAACACTTGAGATTGGCAAGAAGGACTTCATAAGTAGACAGTGTCTTCAGAGGATACCAAGCTTACATTTAAGCCTCAAGATTTACATAATTTACATGATATTCAAAACTCTGAACTAAGTCCAAGATATTTAGGATGTGAAAGGCGTGTAGTGAAATACATGACATTTAACACTGCCACTGAAATATGAAAGCAGAGAAAAAATGATGTCTTTCATCTGTGTAGCATTTGGTGGGAAAGCTGTTCTCACCTTCTTCTATTATTGAAATCCATTTCTGACTGTTATCAGAGTTTAATTACCAGAGAGAATAAGATTGTGCCACGAAACACAAACATGCTAGAATTACATACATGGGGTCAATTGCACCAGTAGGGAATAGCCACAGTCTCGGGTTCATCGTTGAATAAAACCTTCATTGTAGCACTCAAGATCAAATGAAGGCACTTCATTAAAGTGAGACACACAAATGAAACCATACTATGATTGCACTCTCAAGGATGGCAGCGTTTTTGACAACCTTCTGTCCCAATATATATATTATATAGGACACGTGGATGTTAGGAAGTGATAAGGTGGGAATCAAATAATTAAGGATGTTAAAAGGCTATTGCTTTTTCATTTAAATGTTTCTTTGTGATTCTTGAAGGGTATCACTGGTTTAGAGTATTACATTTGGAATAAACTTGCTTTGTATACTATATGTATCATTTAATTGACAGTTTAATTACTGGTTTAGTTATTTTACTCTAAATGGTAATTAAAACAATTAAAGAAGAGGGACTTTCAGGCTCCAAACACCAATAGTCATTCAAAAGCTTTGGGTTTTCAGATCTTTCATGAAACATTTCTTTATCTAGGGATAAAACTGCTACAGTTTTGAAATATCCATAAACCTCTTGTCTTTGGGCACTAAAACTACATTAAATTTCCTCCTTTGAGCTGCACCAAATACTTCCCATGAAAATTTTTTCCTTCAGTAAAGCTGTCTTGTATACTACCATTGGTAGTAATTTGTTGTTGAAATTACTTGGGATGATGCCTGTATTCTTTTCACGCAACCTGCCTGTCCTCTGTGGTAGTATGTCTGTCATTCTATGTTACGTGGGTTTTTTACACTGCAGCACCAAAAATGTCCTGGTTATGAACAGGGGTTAAACTATGATGAGTACTTGACAGGTCCAGGACATAAAGTTGGCCTTTAGGCCAAACAGCTTTTTCATTTATACTTGTCTAGTTAAGAATGGATAATTCTCCAGCATTATAGTTTTTCCTATTAATGAAGTGTGGACAGATGACAAGCTGGTGATTTTGAAAGGTGAGAAAGTACAGGGGTAGAGATAAAGGACCTCTGCTATGTCAGTGGTGCAAGATGGAAGCAGCAGAGTTGACATTAATGCAACAAACTGTCAATCTTCTTCTTTCTTGTGAGGCTACCAGAAAAAGAATCAATTATCCCTAAATATTAAAGGGGGGTTGTGATGTCATGAAAAACACGACATTACATATATGCTCAGTGCAGCTAATACTTAAGTCTTTTCACACAGAGAATCACCATTAGCTCATTTATTAACAGTCAATTTCTGAAGTCTTCAGCGTATATGAATGTCATGTATTTATACATCCCCAAGTCCTTCCAATCTCTGAAAAACTGTTTGACAGCAATGACTCAGCTTCAGTTTGCATCCTTGCCATCTTTTTTTATCAAAACCTTGCATACAAGTCTGTGAGGTTCCCTGCTTTGAACACCAAAGAGGAGATGGAACAGCTGAAAGAGAACAACATTCATTTGAAACAAGTCATACAGACATAACAAGTGGAATCCTTCCAAATCAGGGTGAAGTGCAAAGTTTTATGTTCTCTTCCATTTGAAGATTTATTTATTTTTTTTTTAATCACTATCTCTGCTATGAGGGATCTTCTGTGCTAACATTATTTTAAGTTTTCCTCTTTGTTCTGATAGGGAGAGGAGACCTGTGAAATGTTCTTTGTACATTCAGTAGATAACTGCAGAGTAATTTTATAATCCTTTCATATTTTATTCTGCAAAGTCAGTTTGGGAGCTGGAAGAAGTGAAAGCGGTAAGAGGCAGAGATGGGCAGATGGAATTTCACCTGAAACATTTGTTAAATTGTATGCACTGAAGAGTTCTTACACAATCACATCTTCCAGTTCAGTGTTTTCTGCCCACAGTGGAAAAAAAAGCACTTTCCTTATCAAACTTTTTTCACTCTCATCTTCTGAGACAATATTTTTTTTCCTCCTGTGTGACATGGGCTTAAAGAACTCAGCAAACCATCACAGCTGTCTTTTGAAAAATGGCCATAGTTTCAGCTGTGGATTACCAGCTCCCTTTCCCACCCTGCTTTTTCACATTGCCTTTTTTGCCTGGAGCCTGAAGCTAAACAGAATTAGCTTGCTGTGATTGTCTCACCTGCAAAAGTTCCTCTGGTATCCATATATGCTTGCCACGCCTCCTAAAAACCCTGTCAGGAAGG